TAATGTTTGCAGGCAGGAGAAGCCTCGGATATTTTCCATCGGTTGAAATAGTACTGCGGTTTCCATGGATCAGGATAATATTTTCGACGATAATTTGTACGAGCGTAGGGTATTAGTCTTCCCTTTGACGGAAAGTTTGGGGAAGTTCCAATTTTTCGGATTTCCGGCACGGATAGAGAGGCGCATCGAAAGAAGTTTGCTATGTTTGGAGCTGAGGAAACTTCACCGGCTATGCTCGGCTTAATCCCTCCGCAAATCCTTTGAGCCCCATTAGCGACTTCGTGGCCAGAACCAAACTTCTGCCTAACACACGCGCGCACGCCCGACCTATGTACGAGCGCAAATATTATTTAATCCTCTGCGCGCTCGTCCCGCGCTCTTGAGCCACCGCTTTTGGTAAACTCGATAGTTGGCAAACCTTTGGCTTTTCTCTTTCGAAGCATACACGCGCGTTCGTCTTACTTCTCTCTTCTCCTCCGTCCTCTTGGACGGCAAGTCTTTCACTCTGCGTACAACGGTGTAAATGAAATAATCCGGGAGAACGTAGACGGGTGTGTATGTGTCTGTAGCGATGCGTACGCAACAGTAACGCCACGTATAAACCATCAATAATGACGACCAGCGTGCACACACTCGTTTTGCGAATCGAAACAATGCTCCGACATTTGCATACCATTTGTGTGATTTATAATACCAGAGATAATTATCTTCGTATCCAACCGCTATAAATATCGTTGCTCGCATGCACATTACACCGCCCTCTGCACGCGCCTCTTACACCATAACCGCGCGCTGTTATTTATTTACAATTCGTCCCATTAATTTTCCATTCTCCCCGGGTTTATCGTCAGTCTTGCCCATTTCCCTTCCCCTCTCTATTTCCTCTATGGTTGACATTTCGAAGAGCCGTCGAAACACGCGTTCGATTGTCGTTCCACGGTTTAACGCGATCTCGACCAAACAATTCACCGTTTATTTTTGCCAACGATCGAGATGCAGCAGCTCGTCAACTCCTAAAGCGACATAAATCGTGGTTAATGGTGCTTGTCGTTTCGAATATCGACGGTTTTAAGTGGGAATCGTACCATTCAGCGGTGAATAAATCCGCCGCGAATAGGATTGAGCTCCTTCGAGCCGCGAATCCGGTTGAATCTGGCGAGACAATGAGAGAGAACCGTGAAATAGGGAGATTTTCCCTGGGAAACGTCAGATTTTCCGGTGACAAATACTCTATCTCTCGAGAAACTAATACAATCCCTGCGATGTTGCCCCTTTTATCGTCCGAGTAGAGAGAATGCATCTTTGGAAATGCGTTCGGTCAGGATTAGAAGGGAGAGGAAACGCTACAAAGAGAGAGAGAGAGAGAGAGCGATGTGTATAGGATAAACCAAAGGCGAGGACCAAAGCCATTCGGTTGACTTCCAACGAGCAACCACCACACACGGCGGCGTAGGTCGTGGTCAATCGATCCACGGGATTTCAATTAACCAGCTGACCGAGGAAAAACCTGCTGCACAATTCGGATGCACCAGGACACGGTGGCCAGTTTTCGTTCTCTCTGCACCACTCTCCACTTTCTCCCACTTCATGCCCGCTTCTCTTGTATGTTTTTTCCCCGTCCCCTTTTTTCTTCCATTTCCTGCTAACTTTTTCTCCCTCTTATCTTTATCTTCTTTTCCTTCTTTTGTTGCATTTTCTCTCTCTCTATTGTAATCATTTCTTTCCTCTTCTTTCCCCTTTTCTTCCATCCCCTCCCGCTCATTTCCTCTCCTCTTTCCCCCATCCCCGTGCCCCCTTTCCTATCCAGGTCATGCAACTAATTGATATTCGATTCGTCCCACTCTTAGGGCTTGGTGAAAGTTTTCCTACCGCATTTCCTGTTCAAACCCCTCGCTCGCCCCCCGAACAAACCACCAGTTTCCGGCACTCGGAACTTCCCCCAATCTCCCCCTTCAACCTCACCCACAACGATTGCTTTACATCGTGACGGACAAACCGTGATAATTGCTTTGGAAATGATTAGGACCGTGGTCCACTTTTGAAGATAGTGTCGATGAAGCTCTGAGCGATAGTTACAAATCGTCCAAAACTCCAACTCGGAATATTTGCAGTCGTAATTTAGTGGCGAGAAATTCGAGAAATAATCGAGAAAACCTCAGACTGGAAGAACGATATTGATCTATACTGCTTGTTATCTCGGAGTAAGAGAAAAATTATTAATCGATGATGAAAAATCGGATCCGGATCGACCGAGAATCGAACCCTGGGACCTCAGGGTGAAAGGCGGTCACCTTTACCACTTGCCCGTTCTTGCTCTGCACGTTAACTATTTTCTCTGGGAATTTAAACATACTATACCCACCTTGCTGCTACAATACCTTCCTATTTCCACCCATTACCTTTTAATATTCATTTTTTAACCCGGAATTCTCTCGTTTCGTTGAAATTATCTTTTTCCAAAAATATATACCTATTCTCAGAATTTATTCTACGTTAAATTATTCCATTACATTTTCCCCGAAGTACCGGGCTCAAACTTTCACCGCTCATTCCTCCCGTAAAACGGAGCTTCTTAATTCTATTAAAACTGCGTTAAATTTTCAATTGGAACACTCGCTCTGGTTACTTTAAACCATCCGCGGGGAATGGAGAATCCGAGAAATCGCGGCAGCGGCTAAAAGACGCCGGGACAAATCACTCCGTTAGCAAAAACGTCTGAGAAATCGCTGACCATTTAAAAGTTACATCTGGCCGGTAGCCCTGGCCGCGTTGTAAAGTCAAGACGCAGAACGACTCCTCGGTCAATGTACGTACATAATGGCGGACATCAGTGGAACGAACGAGCGAAAGGACGTGAAAGAAGTCTCCTTTAAGCTGAGGCGGGGGAAAGGAGAGAGAGAGAGAGAGAGAGAGGAGAGGAGCGTTCGCGATGGGGGGAGGATGGATTGATTGTGTCCAAGTGAGTTAAGGTTCGCCCGAAGAAAGATTCGAGGTCGTGGCTTGACGAAGGTCCCCGTTTCCCATTACGGATTCCCCGCGATACGGTTAGGTTCCTCGTTGGCTCGGCTCGCGGGGGTGGAAACTTCCCCTAATGACACAAGTTTTATTGCGGGCCATCGTTCAAGTTGCCAGGAGAGCCGACAAGCCAGCCGGTGACGGCGTGGACCTTCTCTCAGCCTCACGGTTCTTCAATTCCCGCTCTAACCGGCCAACTTGTAATTCCAACTTGAATAACAATGATTAAGTGTCCCGTTCGTGTGGAATCCGGAAAAATCCGCGGAATATTGCAGAGGTAGGAACGTTCTTCTTCCACGGTTTCTCTTGCTTTTTATTAACCCTTTAACTGGGTATTGAAAAAGTGAGAAAGAAAATTGCGAATTCGATATTGACGGTGTTCTTTGCGTATTCAGCTGGATTTCGAAAGAAGCTAGTGTAAGAATATGGTCGAGTGAAGGTAGGGACTCGGGCCGGTTTATGACCCGCAGACCGAGAGGTCCCACGCGCTAAGGGCTGGGTCAGGTAAGGACCCAGCCACGTGCTCGCGCGACGCGGTCCTTGCCGGGTAGAAACCCCCAACTTGCGCCAGGGTTTCCCGAAGGCAAGAGAGTAAGGACGCGTTAGGAGCACCGCGGGCAGAAACATAAGAACTATAAGAATTGTAAGAATTGTAAGGATTGCAGGAGAGTAAATTGAGCACTGTTTAAACTGAAACCCCTTACACTAGGGAAATCAGAACTAGGTAAATGAAATTGGAGAGGACGAGTAAATGATAAACCGCGTGAACGATTAATTGCGCGCTGATTTAATTACACACCGACTCGATTTGGCAGCAATTTGATTCGCGAGCCGGTCGATAAAGATGACCGTGAATGCTGTAATTGACCGTCGATGGGAACACTATAACGTCCAATTTTATCGATACTCCCGATCAATTCAAATATCGAAGAAACTTCCGATACCGTATCTTCATTCCTGTCAATCGAAATGTGACGGTCAGTCGTGGTGGACCGAAAGGGGCTGTCCTCTACCCCTCGAACGATATCACGGGAGAGGAAAAAAGGAGAGCGGAGAAAGAGGCATCGGTGTGGTTGTCGCGGCTTTAATGGAATACATTACTGGGTGTAATCGAAAACGTCGGGAGTCGGGCCACGTTTATCGAGCTTATTAACGGCCTGGCTCTTGTTGTTTCGCAGCCAGGCTTTTTATACACGTCGCTGACACAGTTACGTGAACGGCATTAAAGGGACACCGCCGGAGAGATTCTATTTCGAGTATTATCCGTCGCTTGACCGCTCGTCGAGCAAAGATTCTCTTAACTCGGATCGATGGGTTAAAAATACGGTATCTAGCTGGGAGAGAAAGTAAATACGCTTAACCCTCGATTTACACGGTTAATTGCTACCGTATACATCAATTCGTGGCGTTTAAACGGGAACCATTTATCCAAGTACTTTCGAGTATAAATCGCGCGTGATGGGGTATTTTATCGACTTGTGAAAAAGAAGACGTTAAAATGAAGAATAAAGGATAAAAAAAAAAAAACGGTGGAAATTGAAGTATCGACGGTTGGCTAGAATTTTTTCCACGGTCTCGCCGATCCATAGACAGCGATCCTGCGTGCTCCGTCATTTGCCCTAATGCTTTCTTCCTTCCTGGCTCGCGCAACCGATCAATCTTAATTCGCGAGCTAAATTACCGAGCGAAAGACTGATGTATCCTCGCCGAAGAAATATATTAAGACAGGGTGAAACGGTGCTTTCGCGACGATGAAACTGCGCTTTCCGATTCCCCGTTAATTCCCTATTAATTCGCCACAGTTTCATCGTTTCGGAGAGCCTCATATCTTTCCGAACGCGTAAATTGCCTGTCAACTGCATTCGACGGTGTTACGCAAAACTTACTCGCCTTTATCCGCTGTCTGTTTTTCTCCTATCGGAACAGTGCAACAATACCAAAGAGTAGAAGAGTGTAAACGCTAGAAAAATGTGAAAAAGACTCACCTTTAACCGCGTTCAGCTTGTTGCCGACCATCTGCTTCGCCACGAATGCCGCCATTTTGGTTCTCGCTGCTTATCACACGGGAAAACTGCAACCGAAGAAAGGGAGAACGTTTCTCAATGCTATCGTGGGTAAAACATGTCGCGTATCGTTTAAGAGTACAACTGAAAGGAAAGTGGAGGTAAAAGGGAGAGAAATTTGTTGGTGGAATATTTGGTGTCTTTTAAAATACCCGGCACTGCCGGTGATGACCTTAATATATGTCCAGAAATCTCTTTATCCCGAGAAATAACCATTTCGGGTAATAACATTGTACGGTTTTCAGCTCGTAAATTCGTTTTTATGACGTCATGAAAAGTAATACCGCGCGTTCGATCCGATTCGAGGCTATCACGGAATGGCGGAGGAACGATTTTCCCGGGCGAAAATAGTGGCCGTGGCGAGGCGCATCCGCGAAAATTTGCCACGGTTTATCAGAGCAAACCGTCCGATATCCGAGGAATCGTCTTGGCGATAAAACGATTCCGCCCGGCGATGCCCGTATATAAAACGTGGAAAATATTCCCAACTTGGAAGTTCACAGGTATTTAGGAGGGAGAGGGAAAGTCCTTCGAATCGACAACCGTGGAAATAAATGTCCCGTAACCGAACAAGTACGTATCTTTTTCACGGTGGTCAGAACTCGCGGAAATTCTTTCCTTTTTCTCCGCCGTTAGCTTCTCCCACCGAAGCAACAGTCGTTTCGACTAATAAGTACGATAATTCAAACGTCCCGAAGCCAGACACGATCGTTGGACTAATCGTCGTCGTGGGGCAACCTTTGCGTGAAATATTACCCCGCGCCCGGCCGCTTTCCCTCCCTTCGGAGAGCCTTTTCATTTTCCCTTCTACGTCGCCCGTCCATCTTACCGCGCGGAGTCTCTTTTCGCTGATGGTTCGGCACGAAAATGAAATATGCGTCTCGGGGGACGCGGAGGACGACGTAGTTGTCGCCCTCGATTCGGGATGGAAGTACACTTACGTACTTTAATCTCGCGGCGAGTTCGGGCGACGTCTCTTTCTTTAAAAACTGCACTCTCTCGAGCTAACCGCGGCATCTGGTGCACGGTGATTTAACGAAAATAATCAAGTTAACGCTCCATCGCTCTCGACACGGCGAGGGAAAAATTGTCCGGAATAGTATGTGTGCGCGGTGGCGGCAAAGGGGCGATGCTCGTCGGCGCGGAAACCGCCGCGTCAGCACACTGAATAATTTAACGCGAACCTCTAGGTCACCGGGCTTGGGGACCCTGGCTGCACTTTCGGGTGGCCTTGCGAGCCCCGTGAGGTGTCAAGAAGCTTGCAGTAGCGGGAAACAACGAGCAGAGTCTAGGCTAGGTCTGGGTTAACCAATTTCCCTCCACCCTTTCTCGTCTAGCCATCTTCTCGTCCTTGTACTCGGCGGGCAACTGGAACAGCAGTCTTTCGGAGGGCCGCCGTTAGAGCGGATCTAGCATTGAATTAACGTTAACGAGAATTTCGCGAGTGAATTCTGATTAAATTTCCACCGTTTGGTATTGTGCACACGCGTGCATGCCACGTGCCTTTGATTCCGACCGAGGAATTCCATTTTGCAGTTGCGGATACGTTAATACGCTCCTGGATATAATAATCGTGATTCGATCGTCGGTTTAGCGACGTACGACCGAGTGTAATTTCAACCGGACAAATTTCGTTGGAAAGAAAGAGTACGTATCGGCGTATTTACGTACGAAAATAGTCTAGACTCGAGCAAACATCCCACGCACGCGTCTCGAACCCTCTTTCTATTCGAACGCAGAAAGAAATTTCTCGACATTGCCACGAGGAAAACTCCGGCTCGATCGCTTACGTACCGTCGCCGGGGTCCATCGGCGCCGCTTATCTGGCGTCTAGCGCAGAAACGGCCGGAGTAGAGTGGCTCGTAGCCGAAGACAGGGAGCAGAAAGGATCAATAGAGAAATAGGAGAGGGAAAGGGGAGCGTGGAAAGCGAGAAACAACGAGGACAGAAGGGTGGAAAGGAGAGAGAGAGAGAGAGAGAGAGCGAGAGAGGACTGGCGACGAGAAGCGGCACGGCTGCGAGAAGACGACGCCGATAAAGCAGCGGTAAACCGGCGACGAGACGTCTCGGCGCCTGTACTCCCCTTTCGACCACCGTGATTTTCCAACAAACGCGCGACAACTTTATCCCAGCGACAATGGACGAAACGAGGCTCGCCTACTCGGGATATTACGTGTTTTTCCATCGACGACGCTAATTCCCGCGGCTTCAACGAACCGCGGATCTTCTCTGCCGAAGAGAAACGCTGTTTTGATTATCGAATCTTCGATAGTTGATTTATCCTTCGAATTTGAATTTTCTCTCGTAGACGACTGTCGTCGAATCGAAGATTAAGTCGTACGCGAGCAGATAAATATTCCGAAAACTGGATCACACTTAGAGGACAAAAGATCTATTTCAGCCTGGCGAAGAAGGATTTCCGCGATAGGATGAAAGGCTATCGAATTGCCTAGGCAAGTCGGAGGAATGGCGCGCTGCGGAAACTCTATCCCCGAGTAAAACGAGCTCGTAGCGGGTACCAGAGCCGTGGGAAATCGAGGCAAAACAAACTGAAAGGCCTGCTCCGAGTATCGACGCGAATCAGCCAGGGCTAGGCTGCTGCCTCTTCCACGGAATATTCTTTCGCCAAACAACCTCGCTCACAAAGCGCTGGAAATATTTACCGTTCTTAAAAGTCGCTGGCCGGCAATTTGGACAGTCGCGTCGTTCGGCCGGATCTCGGGCCATTTCAAGCGTAGCCTCGAGGGTCAACAACCTTGGCAGAAGGTTGAACCGCGATTCGCCTTTTAACTCCGAAGACAGATCGCCCTGGCTAATTGACAATCGAGGGAAGGAACGTCTTCTTGCGAGAGAAGACCGCGAAACGTTTCCCTTCCGTCTGGTCCGAGGGAAAAAGGGAGACAATAGCGAGGGATTCCACTTGGCAACCGGCGCGGCGCTTTCCAAACACTACAATTAACGAATTCTAGAAATTATTCCAACGATGGGCGGCAGGACGGGAGGTGCGCGACACGAGAAGAGCGAGGAGAAGTCTGAAGGACTCTTCGGAAAGGAGAACGGCCGCCTCGTTAGAGCACCGACCACCTCGGGGCATCCTTGCGCCCCGATCTCGCCCCTGCGCTAATTAAATAGAGAGCAGAGACGCGGATTCGGTGTTCAAAGTGTTCGTCGCGTGACAAAGGAAAGGTTCAAACGGTCGAATCTTGGTCTAAATATATATTTTCGGCTAATTATCCGAGTCTCCTTTCTCCACGGTTTATCTTTAGCCGATGTGCACTGGTTTACGAGTTACTCTCTGTTTTTCACGTCACAGTGTCGTAGTTTTGAATCGAGTTTCCTCCAGAGGGAAACGGGGGGCATGAACGTTTAAAGTTTCCGCTATATGCGACTTTTTCTTCCAGGCGGAGACTCTCCTTTCAAGTGTTGCGATCAAAAGTATCTCGAAAGTGTTCGGCTACAACAGTGAACTTTTACCTTCTGTTTTACGACCGCGACGCATCCTACTGCATGATACGTTAATCGTTTCCTAGGTTTAGGAGATTCACCGTGTTGTACCTTGAAATATTTTCTTTCTTAGCGTTATCTGTACCCACAACTGGTGACCAACTTTCGCCACTACTCACACTGGACTCTTCACCTTCCAACTCTCCTCTCAACTCTCCTACACCCGAAACCCTTAAATAGCTCTATTTTTCCATCCTCCGCACACCAGCTTCGATAAAGTTTCTCTTCCACGCAACGTCGATCTTTAATTGCTCCGATTTAAGCGTCAAGAGAAATTCAGAAATTCGCTTAAACGATACAAAGGTCCCGTTAAACACGTCGAGAACCGATCTCCATTAGCGACGTGTACCGGAAAACGCTGTTGAATCGCGGATTACACGCACAAGCACTCGACTGGGTGGTGTTCGCAGCAAGGGTGCCACGGCAAAGGCGAAGAATAGTCCGAGAGGTTCAGAGAGAAGCCGAACGTCGAACGATGGCCATCTTAATTTCGCGGACACCTCGACCAAGCTCGAACGTCACGTTCGACCTGGTTCCTCCGAGTGGCTACGAGCACGTAGCAGTGTCTCCTAAGACAGAGGGAAGGCATTTCGCGAGGTACGCGGACGGAAGCGTTTGCAAGGCGTGCCGGGAATGCCGGCAATAATCGCGTTTATGACAGGGCCTGGTGAATTTGTAGTTTCGTTAATTGTCCCGCGCTTCGACGTCTCCTCGACTAATGGAATTCTTTCCGCGGTTCCGTACCACCTTCTCGCACACCGAGACACCGTTGCATTCCACGGTTTATGACACTTATTTCAGGTATTTCGTGGCTGTCGTAACATCCTCCGGCATTTACAGTGCATACGTACACAACTTTGCTTGCACCTTCCTGCTTGCACCTTAGTACTTCCTTTTATCCTCTACTCACTTGTATCTTAATTTAACGAACCGAATTTTGAAACGATACGGCCAAAATTCACCCACGTTACGCGTTAAAATCTGCTGTGTGAACGGAGAATATTTGGGTCCAGGCGACAGAGGTGTGAATGATACATTTCAGACTGCCGAAAAGTTTGGTGGAAGTGACTGAATGAGTTTTGAGAATGTCCGCGAAGAGTGAAAGAGAGAATGAGTGAACGAAAGAGTAAAACAGGGTGAATGAAACTTGGAAAGAGTTAGAATATCATAGAGCGCATCAGAGAGCGCGAATTAGAGTATCGATAGTCGAGCAGAGTTAAGCGTTAATTATTACCAATATAGTGTTAGTATTGAATTATCGTAGACATTCCCACAACACAGTATTTAGCCATCATCTTACAGAGATAAATTTCATTTGGTCTGTAATCCAACCTAACCAGTTTCCCCCTTTTCTCAAGATATACGTAACGAGGTTAAAAGTGCAGTCAGAGATAGAAATAAAGCTTTCGATTCAGGGTGTATCGATTCCCTTCCTATTCTAAGTGCTTTACTCGCCGAATATTCCAGCGATGGTTCATTTCGAGCTGCTATCGGAGAACA